CATACCTGCTTAGTAAACTTAATCAATGACATATACTTAGGTGAGTAAAATGACTGAAATACGCACATATTTGAAAGCAGTGGGTAACATAAAATGAAATACCCACTCAACATTCATAATACCCACTCCAAAAAAATACAGTGGGTACAGTACTCACATGAGCTAAATCTTATCTGGAGCTCTGTGATGTGTGTTACTTTGACCTTGATCCTGACCCTGAACTGAAACTCCATGCTGATTCTATAATATTGTGCAAGGCATTGTTCAGCCCGGCTCATTGTCACATAACTGTAGTCTTTTAGAGAGAGAGAAGTATAAAAAACACATGCCCTTATCTTGCTACATTTAGTTAATATCTACATTGTGAGAACCCTACATTTGCACATCCTGGTTCAATGAACAGTGAACAGACTCTGATGCAATGTCAGTTAACATGCAAGGTTCACATTGGTTTGAAAAAGCCTGTAATTTGGACATTTTCATCTAAAAAAGCCCCTTAATTCGTTTTATCCTTCAAAACCCTAACTGCCAGTGAATTGCCCTAAAAAGGTCCTATATTTAGCAAAACTTGTCAAGTTAAGATTTTGCAGGAAACTATGCATAACCGGGGCTCGATTTAAGCGATGTTAACTTACTTGCACCAGGTGCAACCTAAGATAAAAACATAGTTGCACCAGCCAAATTCCTGTTGCACTGCTTTTATTGCATTGAATATTTAGATGTTTTATTCAGAAGTTTACCCACTCAAAAAATTGACTTGCACCTGGTGCAAGTTAGACTAATAACTAGGTTGCATTTTATGATATTGGGTTGCACCAGTGCAAGTAACAAAGCACTAAATCGAGCCCTGATAATATAAATACCTTGCAATGACATTGGGTGTTGATTAATCTCCATCAAGACGCAAAACATTCCCAGTACAGTGATGTAGCTAAGAGTGATTTCCCTCTGATAGTCAGTCCCACATTTAACCAACCTTGTGTGTATTCAACTACCTATGTGTTATATGCTTTTGTATAGTTCCTTAAACTTGTCTTAATTTGATCGCTGGTAATCTGTATGAAATATGGTTTTGTTGTTCACACTAGTGGTGGTCCGATTAATTGAAATAATCGAAGATTGGTCACAGTGACGAAACGACCAAGCAATCGATCATGTTTTCTCATAATCGAACACAAACAATTCTGGAGCACTTTTTGCATTAACAATATTTTCACACGGTTGGTTTTATCAGTTACATTTCATGAGTACTACAAGCTCGATCCAAGTCATGATTGAATTTATCTTCAAGACCCCAAGAAAGTTATGTTCCTAACATACTAGTTATCCTTTCAAGATGTGAAATTTGACCAAAAAAACCCCAAAGAACTACATGTTTTTTCTCTATGTTTTTGTGCATTAACAAAAATAACCAGGACAAATTCATAAATGATGCTAACCAATTATTTTCGATGATTGATCGGTTGTAATGAAGCAATCATCAATTATGAGATTTTAACCAATTCCCAACACTAGTTCACACCAGCTGAAACTCCCATGTAAAACACCCACTAATGCACACTCAGGTTCTCCCAGAAACTGATACATACAGAATTAAATAGTGAAGTCAGTAAATACTAGTGGTGGTCCGATTAATTGAAATAATCGAAGGTTGGCCGCAGTGACTAAACGACCATGCAATCGATCGTGTTTTCTCATAATCGAACACTTGTTTGCATTAACAATATTTTTCACAAGGTTTGTTTTGTCTGTGTCATTAAATTTTCATTTCATAAGCACTACAAGCTCGTTCCAAGTCATGATTGAATTTATCTCAAAGACTTAAAAAAAAAATTGTTCCTAGCGTACTAGTTATCCTTTCAAGATGTGAAATTTGCAGATGTATTGTGTACAATTTGCAAAAAAAACTAAAAAATTTTTTTGCATTAACAAACATGACAGAAAAATTTGATAAATGACACAAACCAATTATTTTCGATGATTGATCGGTTGTCAATGAACCAATCATCAATTATGATATTTTAACCAATTCCCAACATTAGTAAATACAACCACACAAGATATATGACTAATCAATACATTGTATTGGAACGCACAGTTTTAGATTTACAGTTGCAAAAGGCAGTACTGTATGTGAGATAAGGGCCAACAGCAATCAATAACAGGCCCTATGTTAGTATACCTACAACTATGTTGAATTTTGTTGGGAATATCTTGAAACAGATGTGCTCAAATAAAGATTAGAGTATTAAGCTGACAGGGGTGTTCTGGTACGTATTCAGTGTGCACTTCGCAAGTAGATATGGAACAAACGTCTAGTCACAAATAGCTTTAACTCTTTCAACACCTGTCAACCAGAGGCATTTACTGCCATGACACCGAGTTCCCAGAGACTCTTTATGAAATGTTACAAATTTTAAAAAAGTTTTGATTAAGTCATGACAAAAAAGTAGAATTTTGCGATCAGGTAACATGAATACAAACTTTCTAGCTCAGCACCTATCAAATGTCAAGATTGTATCAAATGTCAAAGTTGTTTTTAATTTTGAAGGTCATTAATGCATGAAGTGATTTTTTGTTAGTTTCATTCAGGAAATATTGTCAGCATGGTATGTAGATTGTTATTTGATTATAGGTAATTAATTACGGAAATACTTATTTATGAACATTATGACCTTAACTAGAGAAATAGCATTTGCTCTTAAAAAGTGGTACTGCATCGACCATGTTTTTCCCCAAAACAAAGGGATGTCATTAAATTGGAATTTAATCTCATTAAAGTAATGAGAATTGTTGACTGTTTCAAAAGCGCAAAAATGAACAGTATCCTCCATATCGTAGATCTCTTTACATACGGATGTTTCATGGGGTGTGGTTGCTTGTGTTTTCAGTAGGGCTGCAACGAATACACTATGTGGCGAATATGATACGTATCACAAATATTAGGTAACGAATACGAATAATTATTCATGAATACAATATTGTAGTTAAGTGATTGATGTACAATATGGAACGCCCATGTTGACAGTGTTAATTTGTCTCAGCTAAACCAGTCATCTCATGACACTCAAATTTGGTATGTAATAGTTATAGTTGACAGTAACATGTGCAGCCTTGGCAAACTAACATGACTTGGGCTACTACAAGGCTAGTACATATTGCATTCTTGCATATCTCGTTTTGAAAAAGGACATAAGGGTTCAAGTAAAACACACTCCCTTAAAAAAATGGTAAATATTCATGAATATTCGGTTCTTGTGACCACGAATAACGAATTGAATTCATGAAGGGCTACGGTTCGATTCACCGAATGTGCGAGTGGATCGTTACAGCCTTAGTTTTCAGTGTTTCATAATCCTTAACAGCTTATCATAAAGATCATGCTGAAAAAGAATTTATGATATGTTTATTTCCTCTACATCCTTGTAAAGCTACACAATATGTACTCCATATAATAGTCAGATGATTTTTTTTCCTTACATGCTTTCATGGTTGTAAAGATTATTACACTTCCTGGTTTTGGCTCAGTCAATGATCTCTAGGCTGAGTATAATGTTTGAACGTATTGGACCACAACACTAAGCATGCATTGTGAAACTAACAATGAAGCCTGAAGTAAAAGTCAGGTATGTTTTTTTATCCCTCAGATCCAGCCATTGGGTCTGTTTGTTAATAGGGTCAGTAGGGGTGGGTATTGCAGAGAATTTTCATATTGCGATATATTGCGATCTCTATTGCAATATATTGCATGAAGTATTTTTAAACAAAAAACTACTTATAATCGAGTTAATTCTTGATTTATAGAGCAAAAACACAACAAAATCACTAGGCTTGATTAAGCTTTAATAACAACTTTTAATCATGATAAAATAAAAATGTGAATAATATTTGGCACAAATGAAACAAGGACATATCCGAAGATTTCCGAGTGTTACGAAGTTTTCCGAATGCAAGTCAAAATACCGGTTTTCGATCTGCGTATCGCAATGCGTATCGTTTTCATGTCTGAACTGGTAAATACCGGTAAACCGGTTATATTGCGCAGCCCTAGTCATCAGTGTCAAGGGTGATGTTTCTTCGTGACATTATGCATGTCATCGGTTTATGCTAAAGATGTCGATGATTTATTTTTGGTTTGGTTGGTTGTTGTTTAACGCCACACTCAGCAATATTCCAGTTATATGGCAATGGTCTGTGGATAATCGAGTCTTGACCAGACAATCCAGTGGTCAACAGCATGAGCATCGATCTGCGCAAAATACAATGACATGTGTCAGCCAAGTCAGCGAACCTGACCACCCGATCTTACGACAAGCATGGGTTGCTGCAGACCAATTCTAACTCGGATCTTCACGGGTCCACTGATTTAAAAGTGAATGAATGAGTGAGTTTAAAGTTCTGCCACTTTTAGCAATATTCCAGTATTATCATGGCGGTGGACACCAGAAATGACTATTAGCTTATATTTCCGCAAGATGACATCCTGGAATATTGACAAAAATGCTTTGTTCAGCGACTGTTTACTCGCTGTTGTGAATAATGCTTCATCCATGTGTAACACTTGGAAGCGATCGTGCGGAAAATAGCATTCGGAATTGTTCGAGTTTTCAAGGTAAAAGTTCAAACAATATGTGCGAATGTTAACGTTCACAATTTGGTAAGCTGTATTCTGATTGGTCAATTCAAAAGGTTACCTGACGCGACCTTCTACTAGGGTTTGTTAGACTCAGTATAAGCAGTGTAACGAATAATACTGAGCCTACGTTTACTTAGAGTTTAGTCAGGTCTGCTTTTTTCACACCCTCACTCTGATATTTAAGATATGTCTCAGTATCTCCTGTATTATGCGGACACCATGATGTTGCACCATGATGTCACACCATAATGTCACACCATGTCACACCAATATGTTATATCAAGATGTGTTTCCGTTTGACATACAAAAGTATGTTTTGTGAGTTTTTCTTGATGTCTTTCTGATTTTGTCTTCTATTTTTCAGATACACAAAGTTCTCCGTAGACACATAAAATGCCGTTCTTTACAAAGAAGAAGAAAAACAAAGCCTCCGAGAGCGATGCCGAAGGAGCGATGAGCATCGGCACCCCTTTCAACGTTGTCCGCAACTACCACGTCAACTTTGACAGCTCAAACGGAAAGTTTGTGGGTCTGCCGCCGGCATGGTCCCAGTTGCTGAAGGACTCCAACCTGACGTAATTACACCTTACACTTACATCGCATTCAGAAACGGGATTGCAAGGAATTATTGGGTTGTGCCTTGGTTAGCCTACACTTACATAAGGTGATATCTCTAGAATGAAAATAATCACATGGAATGATAACTGTTTGATGAACCAATACTTACAGATTAACAAACACCTGTAGTGAACAGACACATACAGACAAACAAACACATATAGATGAACAGTCACTTATAGGTGAAACATCCCAGATAGCATTTGGACATTGGCTCAACGTTGGCAATGTTGTCAAAACCATTGCCAACAATGGGCCAACGTCTGAATGCTATCTGGGATATAGATGATAGAGGTGTCACGATACACCAATCTCACGATACGATACGTATCACGATTTTAAGGTCACAATACGATACGTATCGCGATACATAATTTTCGCGCCTTTTCATACCATTACCTTACCGGCAACGTATGGGCTCGCTGATTGGTCCATCAAAATAGTCTGGCCAATCACAAAAGCTGTTAGTTTCCAACCTATTTTTTAAGTAAAACTAGCTACATCTATTTATCGGAGCGGTCTCGCATAATATTCCTATCAAGACTTTGAAGGAGATGGATATAGCATAAAAATTTGAATCAATAAAGTTTTAAAATAGGAATCGATACACGCAAGCATGTATCGCGTATCGTATCGTCAGTAAAGATGTATCGATGCATCGATACATTCGCATATCGTGACACCCCTAATAGATGACATACACTTACAGATGACTAAACACCTAGAAACGAACAAACACTTACAGATGATCAAACACTGAGAAACTATCGTTTCAAATACTTACAGATGATCAAACACTGAGAAACTATCGTAACAAACACTGATGATCAAACACCTAAAAACGAACAAACACTGATAGATGAACAGTCACTTATAGGTGACCAGAAACATATAGATGACACACTTACAGATGACTAAACACCTAGAAACAAACAAACACTTACAGATGATCAAACACTGAGAAACTATCGTAACAAACACAGATGATCAAACACCTAAAAACGAACAAACACTGATAGATGAACAAACACTTACAGATGATCAAACACCTAGAAATGAAAAAAATCACTTACACCTGATAAACGCCTAGAAACAAACCTTACACATGATCAAACACCTAGAACTGAACAAACACTTGCAGTTGATCAAACACCTAGAAACAAACCAACACTTACAGATTATCAAACATGTGTAGATGAACAAACACTTATCTGTGAGCAGAAATGTAGAGATGAAAAAACACTTACACAGAGGCCCAGATAAGCTGCGTATCCGGGTAAAATACGCATAGAAAATTTCCAATTACGCATTGAAAAATAATTGTTGCGTACTAATTACGCATTTAAAATGTTAGATACGCAAAAAGTTTAAAACAAATGCGTACGGAATATATTTATAAAAATCGCTTGCATAATGAAAAGACATCAATTGCTATCAAGTCGTACTGATAGTATAGGACAAGTGTTGTACTGTCAGTATAGGATGAGTGATCTTTTATGAAATCATTTCCATTATATTTAAGTTGGTTTTGGTTAGGTATGACATAAGGCAGAACATACCTGCTTAGTAAACTTACTCAATGACGTAATACTTAGTTGAGTAAAATGACTGAAATACTCACATATTTGAAAGCAGTGGGTAACGGAAAATGAAATACCCACTCAACATTCATAATACCCACTCCTAAAAAATACAGTGGGTACAGTACCCACATGAGCTAAATCTTATCTGGAGCTCTGCTTACACATGATCAAACACCTAGAAACCTATTGATACCTATATGAAGCACCTACACTCACACAATATGTCTTACTGCTAACAGCGCCAAGGAACAACGAGACAACCCTGAAGCCGTCATCAACTCCTTGAAGACCTACCAGAACTCTGTCAAACGAAAACCATCAAATGCCAAGTTCATGATGGTTGCTACGACGATACGAGAGTCTGATGAGCCGTTGGAAGGGGCTGATGATGAGGAAGGGAGTTCGAAGCAAGACTCCAATGGCCAGGAGGTTGTATTTGAAAGTTCGGAGGATGCAGCTAAAACTGCGGTCAAGGATGAGCAGAATAAAGTATGTGTGACTTTACCTCTGGGATGTTTGAATACAGCGTTCCTCTCTCATGCCGTGTCAGACTGGCAATTATTATACTCATTAAATGATTTATATTTATATTTTCTTAAAATATTGTCATCTGTCCTATGTGCTCTTTCCTTCCTAACACCAGTGAAGATCAAGGATAGAATTGGTCTTAAGCAACCCATGATTATTGTAAGAGGTGACTATTGGGAACGGGTGGTCAGGCTCACTGACTTGGTTGAGACGTGTCATCATATTCCAGTTGTGTACAGTCATGCTGTTGATCACTTGATGGTCTGGTCCAGTCTTGATTATTTACGAACTGCCACTATATAGCTGGAGTAAGTGAGTTTAGTTTTACGCTGCACTCAGCAAAATGGCAGTGGTCTGTAAATAATCAAGTCTGGACCAGACAATCCAGTGATCAACAGCATGAGTATCAATCTGCACAATGGGGAACCGATGACATGTGTCAACCCAGTCAGTGAGTCAGACCACCCGATCCTGTTAGTCACCTCTTACAACAAGCATGGGTTACTGAAGATCAATTCTAACACGGGTCTATATAGCTGGAATATTGCTGAGTGTGACATTAAACAACAAACAATCGTCATCAATCAAATCTTCTGCAGTGATATATTTGCAGTACAGGTTCTGGGAATGTGCGCACATATCTCCCCATGGATGATGATATTTTGTTCGCATCTGTTGCAGCATCAACACGAAGTGGGTGCTGGAGACCAGGCAGTGGACAAGTTGGGAGATGGCGTCGCCGATGTAACCGTGGATGAGGAGGAAGTTCCCACACGCCGACCCAAGTCAGACAAAAAGGTGGAAGCAAAGACAGATGAAGAAATAAATGAGGAATTGCGTAAGTAAATTTGTTTTTGAGAAATAGTGGTTGTCGCCTATTGTACCAATATTGAACAGGCTAGCAATACTTGATATATGTTTGTTTGGCTTGTTCGTTTTAGCACAAGAAAATATATGATTGCAAGAAATTTGATGCATTTTGCCTATTTTTGCAAATGTCAAAAATTCATAAAATTGTGGACAAATATGAGTATAAAGTCACTTCCCCAAAGACTAAGTCTAACTCTCAGGGCCTAGATTTTCGAAGCTCTCTTAGCGCTAAGATAGTCGTAAGTGTCATACATTAACATTAACTTATGACTGTCTTAGCTCTAAGAGAGCTTCGAAAACCTAGGCTCTGGATTATGGTGTTGGTCAGTGTCAAATAATGATGTTTATATCACAAAATCAAAGTCATTTTCTGTTGGCATTATCTTATTTGACAGAGATAAATAATCTTTTTGTCTCCACTACAAACAATGATTCTATCATCTAATAAAAATGGTATAGTTTGAGTTGCTAGTATGATAAGCTCTGACTTCTTACGATGTGTTGGCTACACTGGCAGAGTTAAGGCTCGATGTCGTCAAAGCAAGACTATTCTCAGTTGGATTTGTCATACTAGCGATGTGTACTGTTCAGTTCGTACTTGACAAATATTTTAACAGAATTGACTGAAGGTCTGCCAAATGTTAAGATAAATCTGATGCTGATTTTTTGTAAGTTACGCGATCATATTGAGCAAATCATGCAAGTCAGATGTAGAATTTTCATGTTCTGTGAATTTGCAATGTGAAACTTTCTGTACATCGCTATTACTGCTGGCCTGTGAAGATTCGGGTTAGAATTGATCTTCAGTAACCCATGCTTGTCATAAGAGGCGACTAATGGAATCGGGTGGTCAGGCTCACTTACTTGATTGAGACATGTCATCAGTTCCCAATTGCACAGATCAATGCTTATGCGTTGATCACTGTATTGTCTGATCCAGACTTGACTATTTTACAGACCGCCTTTATATAGCTGGAATATTGCTGAGTGCGGCATAAAACTAAACTCACTCTCTCGCTATTTCTGCTGTGATTCCGCAGGTAATTCAGGGTTATGCAATCTCTGAGATCCCAATAAGTTTTAAAAATGACACCATGTATATATACTGAAAGGGTATCTGTTCCCACTTGTTCAGTTTCTTGGCAGTTTTGTGTTTTTCTTTATTGATATTGTTTATCCCATTCAATAAGACCAGTTCTGAAGCATGAAAACATGAAATGTTTGTGTGTGCCCTTCAGGGAAGATTGCCAGTGCAGGAGACCCACAGCAGAAGTTTGAGATCAAGAAGAAACTAGGATCAGGGTAAGAGTAGTGTCCTTACCTTTCCCGTGTCATACCCATCCTCGGTGACCAGGGGCATTATGTCTCAGTTTAACGCTGTACCCAGTCTCTTCCATGGCAAATTTGTGTTATACAACAGAAATTCTGTGTTAGGAGCAATGGAGTGCTAATGTCACATCTGAAGAATAGCATGGGTCGGAAGTCAGTAAAGGTAGCATTACTGAATTAAGGTATAAGACTAGATGACTGAGAATACAATGAATGGTTTTATCTTGATATGTGAGACTATTTCGCCATCTCTGTCTTCTATCATCTTCTGTGACCGGAGTTGGAATCAGTTATGGCATTTTCCACTGATCCGCGGATTTCGGCAGATTTTATTCAAAAATTGATTGAACTCCCCCATTCGATAGTACAATGTTAAGTTTTCAGCTGAAAATAGATATTTCCTGTTGCCATCCCTGTAGAATCTTCAGCAACCATGATTGTAAATGGGGTTGGGTGGTCAAGCTGGTGGACTTGGTTGATGCATGTCATCATATCCCAAAGATGTAGATTGATGCTCATTAGGTCAATCACTGGATTGTCTGGTCTAGACTCGATTATGTACAGACCACCGTCATATAGCTGAAAAATTGAGTGTGTGTTAAAAAAACCCCAGACAAAACATATACAGGGAACAGTTGTAAGGTGTTATCCATACATTAGCATCCCTTCACCATTAGACTAGAACTGCTACATGGATCAGATTCAAACTCACTCACTCACTCACTTTAACATGTTGTTTCTTCAGTGCCTCTGGGATGGTGTGTCTCGCCAGAGAGAAGGCTAATGAGGATGTTGTTGTGGCGATTAAAATGATGGACTTAAATAACCAACCGAAGAAGGAGCTGATTATTACTGAGATCGAGGTCATGAAAACCTATCGCCATGACAACATTGTAAACTTCCTGGACTGTTACATGCTAGATTCTGAACTTTGGGTAATCATGGAGTACCTGGACGGTGGCGCCTTGACCGATGTTGTCACAGAAACCATCATGAAGGAGGGTCAGATTGCAGCTGTATGTCGCGAGTGCCTTGTGGGGCTTAAGTTTCTTCATGAGAGGAATATTATTCACAGGGATATTAAGAGTGATAATGTATTGCTTGGAATGACTGGCGCTGTCAAGCTGACCGATTTTGGTTTCTGTGCTCAACTTAGTGGAGAGAAGTCTAAGCGTGACACTATGGTGGGAACACCATATTGGATGGCGCCAGAAGTTGTCTCCAGGTAAGTTCTTGAGGATTTATGTCTCAAGGAATGAAAATGTGCATTTTGATATTCTTCATTTATTAAACATTTTAAATTATGATTTTGAAGTCACTGGAGAAATTGTCTTATGTCCACATATTTCATTGACTTTTGTCAAGATTCCCGGGATGCGAATTTTCCGCGGATCCGCAGAATTCCGGGAATTTCATATGGCCAAGGGTCATTTTTGTGAATCGTCCAAATCCGATAGATGCTAAACCCCCGGATAGTTTTCAGAGATTTTCTCAAAACTTCATTCTCATCCCTGAGATTCTGTCTATGCGTCTGCGAGAAAGCTCTATGTTTCTCCAACTGTTGGAATTCTAGGATAGACATGAGCCCCAGCAACCTGTGCTTGTCATACAAGGCATGGTTATGGTCACACTGAGTTGCCATTCCCATCCTGAGTCGGGGGATCTTTGTTCATGAAATAGTCACTAGTTTGTCTGGTTCAGACTCACAGGGTTTTTTTTTCTGTCGGGCAAGCAAATTTGTATATCACACTGTACCGGTGTCCAGTTGATATTCCAATGTTAGTTATGTTGTTTATTTAAAAAATCAACAAGAAAACGGCCGGTATAGTGGAAAAATTATCAGGGCAAGTGATTTTACATGTGCCACTGTACCGGAGTACACTAGCAATTTTAAAGTTATTTCCACCCCTGGACTCAATTATTACAGGTTAGAAGGATTTAAAGGGGGTAGCCTTGTGGTTATAGCATTTGTTCGTCACGCCAAAGGTAAGGGTTCGATTCCCACATGGTACAATGTGTGAATCCTGTTTCTGGTGTCCCCCGCCGTGATATTGCTGGAATATTGCTAAGAGCAGCGTAAAATCATACTCACTCACAAGAAGAATTTTAACTGTGACATAAAACAAAGGATGCTTTTCTGGCATTTTACCGTTTGTGTCTTCCAGGAAGCAGTATGGCAACAAGGTGGACATCTGGAGTCTGGGCATCATGATCATTGAGATGCTGGAAGGGGAGCCGCCATACCTCAATGAAACTCCTCTGAAAGCCATCTTCAGGATTGCCACTGTCGGCAAACCCGAGATAAAGAACGAAACCAAACTGTCTGAGGAGCTGCGTTCCTTCCTGCACGCCTGTCTGGAAGTGGAGGTCGACAAGAGGGCAAATGCCTCCGAACTGCTTGAGCACGCTTTCCTGAAGAAAGCCATGCCGCTTACTACACTAAAACCGCTAATCATTGCTGCCAGGCAATCTACTGGTCATTGAGTCGATTCATTCTGATTGGTGTATATATCTACATGGGCTTGAGTACAGGAGCCGTATGACAGTGTCAAGTTGGCGTATTCATCATTGATGATAAAATGACTTGACACATCTCTTGTACATATTGTCATGTTTTGAAGTAAGGACCATACGGTTATTGAGAGACACCTGACAGAGGGATCTTTCACTTCTTGCACAATATTAACAATTCAGTATGCAACCTCTCAACAATATGCTCACAAAATTATGTCCTTTAATTTTCAATTTTCGTACTTGCTTGTAAAATGTAAACTGGAAAGATAATATACATGGTACCCAAGTAACATCTAAAACAGGGGGGGGGCGGTGGGGTAGCCTAGTGGTTAAAGCATTCGATCGTCACGCCGAAGACCCGGGTTAGAATCCCCACATGGGTACAATTTGTGAAGCCCATTTCTGGTGTCCCCCGCCATGATGTTGCTGGAATATTGCTAAAAGTTGCGTAAAACCAAACTCAATCAGTCAGTCAGTCAATATTAACAATAGCAGAATATACATAACATGTGTTTTGATGTTTCTCTAACACTAGTACTGTACAACACTGATTGTGTTGACATGTGCTAACAAGCTATTGTCCTAGTATCACCACAGAATGCTGTTAAACAGAAGAATATGGCTTATGTAGATTATGTTTTCTATACTCAATATTATCCTCAAAGTGCATGGAAGAAAAGTTCAAAAATGAAACAACTTTTTGGATGACAACTTTTTGTTTATTGCATAGAGCGGCATTTCGATGTAGATTCTTACACCGTCATATGTTTCAGTTTTGACTCCCAAACTTCTAAAATGACGATCAAACAATTAGAAGAAAAGTCCAGTTGAAAGTTTGATAGGTCTTGAGAGCAGATCTAAAGGCGCTAAGTAGGTTGGAGAAATACAGAGTTGAAAGGGAAGACCGTTTCACTGGCATGATGCCAAGGAGAAGTATCTATATCCATAGCAACAAGTTTCTCATGTTGGTAGCCTTATGGTCATATTCAATATGCTTGATACGATCATTTGCCTGATCTTTGACCACTGTGTGCTCTGACTCAGAGGGAAGTGCAGTAAATTTATCAAGCCATATTTGGTCCATAAAGTAAGGACACCTGGACTCCTTATTTCCCCTAACCATAAGGAATTATTTCAACAATGCGATGTTGTTAAGATTTGTTTTGACATTATGTTCATGAAAAGAGTGTCAGATCGCAATAAGGAACTGTCCCCCAATAACACATACACCCCTCCAAATAATATACAACTAATCCCTAATATTGAATAAGTTTTGCGAGACTCATCTGCTTAAGCGTTCATGGAGGCAAAGAACCAAATTGAAATGATGCTTAAAATCATACAACTTGCAAAGAGTATAATGAAAAGCCTGTTCTAAATTATGGTCCTGGTTGTAGATTGTAAAACCTGTAGAAACAGCATGTCAAGCCCATGTCGATATGCACACAATGTATCCATTAACAAGTAATGCTACACACTGTATTTAGTCATGACGAGCTCTATCGGAACAAAACTGCCATGAGTTACTGTATTATTCTCCAGAAGGACTGAAACTGTTATAGGAACTGTATATATCCTGTCGAATGAATTTTTCCACTGAAGTTATGTAAATTTAAGTACAGCTGACCCTGGGCCTGTTCACATGGGTCTCTTCACGTCTCTTCACGTCCAGGCAGATATGTGTGAAGTGTGATGAAAGACTGTTACTAGAAAGCCTTTGACGATGAAAGGGAAGTAAACTTTGACACTGGATTAGGGCAGGAAACATTTAATGTTGATATTTGTTTATGATGTTTGTTTTCTGATAAGTCCCAGTCACATAGTGCAAATTATTGCTGTTAACTTGCCATTCGAAAACTACAGCTCCTGAAGGGAAGCTTGGCAGGGTGTATGCCATTGAACTTGTGATAGGGATATTCTGATGGTAGCTAAATTTCCTCTTTTTATCCAAGATACGAAAATAATCTATATTGTAATATATCTAACGCGTATTTACAAGTTATTCTTCATTCTGAAACAAACATAAGTTATATTTCTATATTTAGTTGTCCATTGTTGTTTGTATCATTATTGTGTAGCCTGTAGGTGAAACAGATACATTAGGGGCATCAGTGTGTCCTATAAACCCAATGTATTTGTCATTTAAATATCTTTCAAATTTCACACTTTTAGGAGATTTCTTATAAAATGAACCAAAATTATACTGACATTTTTAGAGCAATGTTCAGTGTGTGTGCAGATTTATTGTTGGTATTCTTGAAAAAAACCAAAAAAAACTAATCACATCTATTTTCCTAATTTCTTTTCAGTAGTATTTTTAGGTAAAGTGATAATGTTGAAGATTTGTTAATGTTGAATCTGGAGATCTGTAGTTCTAAGAGGCAGAGCACTGTGTCAGCCCCAACAGTTATAGTGTAGAAGTTGTATTCTAAAGAAAGTGATATTAACCCTGTTCCTTTCAGAAATCAGCTGGGTCATTCTCACCCAGTACAGGGCTTTACCTTGACTTACAAAACTCGGGGTCCAGGGGACTCCCTTCAATCAGTTTTAAGTGTCCTTGCAGGTGAAGGTGAGGTGAAATTGGGTTTAACTTCGTGCTTGAGAATATTTCACTCATATGATGACGTGCATGCGTGTGTATGTGTATGTGTATGTGCCGCTGCTTCTACTAGCCCAGACTTAAGCTGGTTTTTATAGTGCTAGCCAACTGAGATACCATGTCGCAGTGAAGCATGAATACCCCACTCAGACACATTATACTGACTCCGAGCCGACCAGTCCTTGTTGTACCCATTAATGCCGAGCGCCAGGCAGGGACCAACAAGTACCATATTTTAACGTCTTTTGGTATGACGCGGTCAGGCATCGAACCCGCGACCCTCAGCTCTCCTGTCCTTGAAGGTAATATGAGGGCCTGCTATAGTATTGAAATGGTACAGTTCATCAGAGCCTGGGTTGAATCAGGGATAGTGTGGACAGTGGCCATGATTATTGTTACTTCACCAGACACACTACTCTTGAGGTGCGGTAGTTCGCTGTCAGTATTTTTGTTTGTGTCCCAGGAAGTGGTAGGTTTGCTTTTCTGCGTTCATTCGCTACATCTGTGCACCACATATAACCCTGCCCTGTATTACACCTTGTTTTCATTCTCGTGCATGTGTAAGGGACCTAGGGAAGGATGTGACAAGAATGCCTGCATCACAGAGGGGTCGGTAAGGGAGAAATAGAAATTTACATTCTCATTTAAATCCAGTTGAAGAGTCATTAAGATACTGACATGCACTGGTGAATGATTCCCAGAAAGTTAGAAGAATGCATGAGTACATAAAAAGCATGTAGCATTTAGGGAGGGTCTTTGACTTGTTTAGTTTTGTACATCCAACCCATCATTACCGGTTATGGGGAAACATGAAACTGCCTGTCACCATCTGTGTAATCAGAACCAGCAGCTGTTAGCACAATTTTCTGAATAGATACATTGTAATTGTAATCACTGGTTTCTATGGCAACTGCATACAGTAGTGGATGCATTTAGTTGGATGTTTCAATTGATTTGTCTCCTCATCTTGCTCATGTCGGTATCCTATGTTAGTCCCCATTACGGTGTTGTCTTCCTGTTGCTGGTATCAATACACTCATTTCTTCAACTGGTCTGCAGTCAGCTTGTATCAGCAGGAAATGAATATTAGTGTTAACATTGACAAACATGTCATCTGTGGTTGGAGTCCATTGAGGAAACAAGGAGAATTCATCTCTTTATTAACATACAACAGTGAGTCAGAGGATGAGATGGTCACCATACAAGACGAAGTACTGATAAGTTAAGGAGATTCTCTAATTGTTGAAACTGACTTGGCAGATGTTTGCAGCTGTTGTTAAGGACATGTTTGCAGCTGTTGTTAAGGACATGTTTGCGGCTGTTAAGTCATGGACATGTTTGCAGCTGTGAAGTCGTGAACATGTTTATACAGAAGTTAAGGACATATTTGCAACTGTTTATATCATGTTTGCATTTGACATGTAATGAACATGTTTACAACTGTAATGTGACCTTGTTGTCACATGGTATGATTGCCTGATATGTTGGTACCAGCATGATTGTTGATATTCTATTAACTGATGTAAAGCTTTAAGTAAAAATATGAATAGTGCCCTGCGAATATGCTTGAATGTGGAAATATATTCATGCAAAAAATTCAGGGAACACGTACAGAATGAAACATGTCATCCCCAAGATGATTGGAAGACATTGAAATAATGCACGATTTCGAGAATTAAATTTTGTATTGTATTGCTGATTAAGCATATTTATTGACATTTGTAGCAGTGTTCTGTTGCATTGCGTTGGTTTCCATTAGTTGAGTTGTCGGCAGTGAGCATCCTTGTTAACATGGTCAGAAATCAGAAGTCATAGTTTTTCATTTTGGGGATGGTCTCTATAGAAACTCATGATGCATTATCATTATGTAAACAATTGCTTGTGTTCCATTGAAATATAGTATTATTATCACTCCATGTGTGGCAATCATACGATTGATTTTGTACATCCACCTGGCTTTATATATCTTTATGTACCTCATCTACTGTCTTAACAATTGTATTGTATAGATATTATTTCACTTAAGTAAGTAAACCTACGTATTGCTCTTCTGTACAATTCCCTTATATTCAGCACAAGTATTTTATCTACCTGTATAACTGTAACAGAATAATAGGGATGCTCTGTAATGGTTCATTCAGTAGAATGTTGAGCATTTCTAAAATTATGTATGACAAGGTTTAGTGACATCAATGTATCTAATTCTTACATAGCTTCTACCTCGATTGCATTATTGCTGTAAATCCTAAATTTATGGGTACTGTTGTATTAAAACCAAACTTCAGTAGACAGCCTTTCTTGGCTGAATGAGATTTCAGTTCACTATGACTGACTGAAGTGTGCTGATGTGACGCAGAGTTGACATAGCTAGTTCAGTGCCTCCACTCTGTCTGCAGTTAAGCTGTGTTTTCCAAATCTGTTTCTACCTTAAGAAAATTATATGCAACATTTTATTCCAGCAGAATTTATACGAGATGTTTTTTAAACCTGACATGAAAAATCAAAAGAATTTTTTTTGTAATGTTTACTTGGGACATTGATTTTCTATTGGACGAGAGGTCAGTCACATGACCCTGAAACTGAGGTTTATAAGGGGAAAACACAGTATGACATTCACATGTTTTCATGAGATTGTTTTCTTGGCATGATGGAGGAACTGATGTACTTCCAGATACCTAAAGGAATTCATTTGAACTCCTCAGCATGAATACACACACAAGTTTAGTTTCTGAGCATTTGGACACTTAAATCCTGAAGTGAGGGTTGTAGCATAGATGAGTCAGAACGTTTTACTGCATACCTGCTCAAGAATATCCTCGCTGCCACTGATCCTAGTTGTCTAAATGAAGAAAATCTCTTGATTCAAGTCCAGACTGAAGGGTGACATTTCCAGCAAACTATAAATCTTCTTTAGTATCTAGGGCGATGGGGAAGCTTATTGGTTAAATCGTTTGCTCCTCACACTGAAGTCCTGGGTTCGATTCCCCACATGGGTACTATGTGTGGGAGCCCATTTCTGGCGTCCCCTGCCATGATATTGCTGGAATATTGCTAAAAGCAGCATAATTTTAAACTCACCAACTCCCCCTTTAAGATCTGTTACATGGTTGTAATCACCTTTCAGTGATTAACCAATTCATCATGATGAACACCTTGTCACAGATTCATGAACACTTTGGGAATCTCTCCAGTCATGTATTTTTGTAAGCTCCGATGTTCTAGCTGTGTTTCCCTCACTCACTCTCTGAAGGTTCATATTCCATTGAACTTATACAAATCAAAAGTCAGTTTTATATGAACAAATCAATGTTTCCTTAAGGAAGTTCAATAATCAAATCGTACATTAAATGTCCAATCATGACAATCTATAAACACAATCTCATCAAATTATTTGTAAATATGTTCTTTTTATCAACTTAACCAGTGTTTGTGTAAACATCACAAGTTTGAATTAATGGATAATTAAGACATCAAAACAAAATTCTCACATAACTTTGATTAAACATGTCCTTTTTGAAAAAAAACATTATGTGAAAATGTGTTGTTTTGGCCCAGATGGCACACTAGTGTATGTTCCAACATGGGTCTGGCACTGCTGGAAAGGTAACGATACTTCTCAATAGAACTTAAGGACATCCAAGTCTTAATGTCACTGTATTCTCATATAATAAAGTTAGGGTGTAGTGCCATAGCCTAGTGGTAAAAGTATTCGCTCATCACTCCGAAGGCCGGGGTTCGTGTCCCCACATAGTACAATGTGTGAAGCCCATTACCAGTGTCCCCACCGTGATATTGCTGTAATATTGTTAAAAGTGGCGCAAAACTAAACTCACTCACTGAAATGACTGACAAAACCCTTCTCATTCAGGCAGCAATATGAGAATGTAAAGACTTATGTTGTCAAAGATGATAAACCAGACCATTGTTGTGTTAACACTATGCTGCTGGAGACAGAAGGATACTGACACACTGAGACTGTTTGAAACATGGACAAATATGAATTATTTACAGTTAAGAATATATTTTTTAAATAATGTAATTATGCATTTCTCATGTCATTCCATATCATAATTGTAACAATTTACTTATGTTGCATTTCTGTTAAATTTGTGTTGGAATCGAATCCTGATTTACATAATGTTTGTGAGTTACTGATATATTGCTTCTTGTAATGTTCAACATTCCAGAATAAAAAAGATAACCCAGAGTAATATAGAGAGATGATGCCCATGGGAAAATGAACAAATGTCGAAAACCAAGTCATTATGAAATATTCAAGACAGGTTGGCAATTCACCAGCAAATATGTTTTTGACCTATTTACTTGTAACGGTCAGTATAGTGTTTGTGTCAGAATGTATTA